GCGGACATGGACACTCGCCTAAACGAATGCTTATTAAAATGCCAAGAATTGAGTTCTTTTTGCGTGGACGCCCGGCACTGAAGTGATACACTTTTCGCTTGGGTCCTAAGGCAAGCTAGATCAGAATAGGCCCTAAGGTATTTGATCGGCACAACACTTAACTGGCGCGGACAATCGGCTCAAGACTCAAAAAGGGATACTGCTCTACCGGAGGATTGATCAGTAACTGCCGATGATCTGTATTGGAGTTCGTAAGGAAGATTCTAGGTTTGGAGGGGATTGAATGCAATGTCAGGAAATTTCAGAGAATTTGGATACGTGTTATGGCGTGATCGGGACGTTCGTGTCCAGACATTCAATAGGATTTATATTACAGACTTTCGATCGTGGATTCTTCTTCGGATTAGTGCGTTGTCAGGATTATCTTCGAGTTAGTAAAGTAAACGGCCGAATTATCGACACTGTTGCAGATTGTGATCCTGATGGCATAATTTTGACTGCCATAAATACCGTTTTTGTCAAATAATAATGAAATTACCGGCTAATTAAAAAGCGTTTTCACTTTATATCATTGGAGAAACACACTGTTTTAAATGAAATATTTTATAATAGAAATTGATCAGTGAATGGTGTCTCAGTGGCTCCGGAGCGGCAGTGCTAAACGGTGGCAGTAGTTGTGACGAGCTACGTCATTGTGAATTTTGTTCATCAGGTAAGTATAAAACGACATCAAAATGGTGTCAACATCTTCAGCAGGAACCAGACTATCGATGAGATGAGAAATTATTTAACTTTTGGTTAGATATTTGTTGAAATTCGTGGGATCAATAAGTGTGTCACATAATGCAGGTTGTGTTCCTATGTTGTTGACACTCGTTTGTATGGGGATATTCGAAAGTGGCAGAAAGTGGGTAGGCGCAGGCGTCATAAATTGCGCAGGCGCCATACATTGCGCCAAGGAGGTCATACATCAGGTATACGCAAGGATCACAAACTACGACATGGGTGTTTCTCCAGTGTTAGAAACCCCAGTAGCAAAGTTAGTAAAGGTATTAAATAATTAAATATGATTGATTATAATCTTATGATAGACTTTCATTTGACTAGTTCTTGCGAAAGGATTATCTTAATGAATATCGAGATAGTAAATGCGTAAAAATTGAAAACATATTTTAATGATAACGTAAAGCTGTTTACCTCTTTTATGAATAAATGTTTTTTTCATCTATCTATAAATCTTATAAAAGGGGATTTCTCTATGTAACTTTGTGTGTACGCGATAACTCAAAAACGGGAGAACCGATTTTCAGAAAGTTGGTACTATTATAATTCTTGGAATATGCAGATGGCTTTAAAGGGGAAAAGAAAATGGTGAATCCAGTATGTCTAGAGCATCAACGTACAGCATGGACTATGCATAGACGTAGGAAAAATGGTCGACTGAAAGAAAAAGTTAGCGACTAGTGGCGGCCAAGCCCTGTCTCTTTCTAATCAGTAGCCGTAGTACGAAAGTATAAAAAAAGTATTCAATAGGAGGATTAGAAAAGGAGAACAATTGGCCGCCACCTCATTTCCTCTTTGCTTATTTGAACTATCATTTTTTCGAAGGCTTTGAAGTAGGGATCGCGTAGTGTCACGTTCCGTGTACCGTTTTCATAGTTTTTTTGAATTTTTCCTAATTATCCTCATCCTTCATAAAATTCCGCACCCTGTTATTCCCAAAATACCGTTTCCTTACCGTTAATCCCAACCCTAATAAAACACTCCGTTTATATTTTTCTAAGACCTTCCTAATCCAAAAAACCCAAAATTCCATTTTAGAGTCCCGTTACACCCGAACTGCGTTTTCCCGTTTCGCAACCCCTACCTTACACACTACCCTTAACCACTAGTATAAAAAGACGGGCCTTCTCTAGGTTAATTGAGTAATAGCCTGGAATTTGTACACGACACACCTCTCTCGTGAAATACATACGAACTGCTCAACCTAGACGACAGCTTCTTTATTAAAAGAAGCCCACCAACATTTTCCTGACACCCACAAGAAAAATAAATTCGTTGATCGTAACAGTAGTCCATGCTATATAGAATGTTATACGTAATTGTAGACATCGAAATATAGCACTGGACTGCTCACTGTAGCCGCAGAAAGTGTAACCGGGAATAGAAAGAGAGAGTAAATCGTAAGGACCGTTCTGTTCTTCTCTTGGGCAGAAGCGGAATCAGGAATAAAGGAACCTCGCGCAGTAAAATGTATGTTTCATGATGAACTTTATTTGTATATTTTATAAGTTTAAGAATTGATTTAATATTATGTTAACCATAAAATTTAAGGTTATATTTCTACTTTACTTATTTGTGAAAGCTTATCGTATTGGGCTCAAAAAACAGGTCTTGTGATAGCCCACACTTAAGACAGCGAATCACCATTTTTTTGAGTAATATTGAATTTTGATAAACACTTCCTTTCCTTCCTTTCCTTATGGCTAACTCCTCTAATGAGGAGATGTGCTAGATTGATAAACACTTCTGTCTGCAAGATTCGACTGTAACAACGTATATTCTAGATGTGCGGAGTATTCTTGCACATGGTTCTTATTTTGCATATTACAGTCCTGAACCCCTTACATCCAGATAACTTTCGACCAATAGAAAAATGATAGAAAAGGACTGAACGGTCCTTACGATTTGCTCTCTCTTTCTATTCCCGGTTACACTTTCTGCGGCAACAGCGAGCAGTCCAGTACTATATGTCGATGATTGTAGAGCGATATGAGTCGACGCCAAGCGGCGCCGCGAGGAACTATACAAAGCTAGCTTATAATAGAATCATTAGCCCGTATTCAGAACTCGCTTTTAATGCTAATAGCGCGCTTGTAAATTTTTTCTTAGTGACTTTTAACTACAAACGACTCTGTTAGTGACTTTAAGAGCGAGTTGCGAATACGGGCTATTGTCTTGCACTGTAATTTTTGTGTGATGACATATAGAGAAAAATGAAAATATCCGGATATCGTGAACTCGTGTCTAAGAAGAAAATTGGAATTTGATTTTAGTTGTTCTTACTGGATTGATATGTTATTCTTCTCGCGACATGAGGAGATTACATAATGAATATCTTTTGGATACTTCATAATGTTTACTATTATCATACCTTCCATTATTAAGATTAAGGTATATCGCCCCCGACCCATGAAATCTCTCAAGCAACTCCATCCGCGATAAAGTGCTAATAGTCATTGGCTCAGCCTGTATAATAAAAATTTTTCTTTGTAATTGATGTGTATTCTATATAAAATGAATTTGAATAGCAACATTTTTATTAGTACAGTAGAATCCGCTTATAATGAAATCGAAGGGAAATGATAAATACGTCATACTAAGCGACCATCATACAAAGCATAATATTAGAAGATTAAAAACTTCGTATTTTTATTTGGTATTTAGATTAATAGAAAAAAAATGACTACAAAATGTATATATCTATATAACTTTTACCATCTTTTAAATTAATAATCGTCGAATGACCAACCCCAAATTCCTTTGCCAGAGATGCGTTCGACTCCCTATTTTCTAATCTGCATATAATTGCACCTTTCTCTTTAATAGTAAATGCTTTACGACGTTGCGATATCATTTTTGTGCACAGACCACTAATATAGCGTAGCGTTAGATTAACAACTCGGTACTGAGAATCACAACAAAGACGAGCCACGCGCCACGCACACCCCGGATGTTGCCGGCGCAGGGGAAGGGCGGGAGGGGTCGTGGAATCGAACGAAAATGTTAGAAATCATGTCAGTCACTATAACCGGACATAATTTTTTAAAAATCGGTCATAATAACCGATATGTCACTATAAGCGAAGTCATTATATCCGAACTTCGTTTCACAGTAGTTTATATGAAAACTAAACTTCTCACTGCAATTACGTCATATTAAGCGGTTGGTCAATATAGGCGGAATCATAGTAAACGGATTATATTGTCTTAGTGTATAGGTGGGACACGTCGATGCTACTGATACATTTTTGCAAGAATGTGTAAAATATATTTAAAAAATCCAGCATGTTAAATTCGGAAGAGCTTTAGTTAAAAGAGTTTTCTTCGGATAAAAAATATAGAAACATGTGTATGACACAGATCATACATAGTTTAATATACTATATGGCCATTTTATGAAATTGGCCAGGTCTAATCATGTGAGGCCTGACATCACTGTGTCAGATCATGTATTATACATTGCGTCATACCTGATATGACATAGTCAGATGTGATTATAATTTAAAAGAGTCATTTCTCGTTATTATAAATCTTCGATACAGCAGAGTAAAATTTTATTTGTTCCTAGAGCTATTGCTCCCTTAGGACCGCAGAAAAGAATAATAATAAAGTAAATCACTTAGAATAAAGAGATCGAATCAAAATTAAAATATTGCACAGAAATTACGATAGCAGTATTATATAGAATAACATGTAGAATAGTAGTACCGCACAAACAAGTAACATGTGGCAGGCAGTAGGCTCAGAGATAAGAAAACAAAAGTAAAGTGAAATGACTATAATGTCGTTAGAAAAGTTAAGGTAAAGTTATATCAATGGGTTTTCTTTCCGTTCTTCCTCAAGCATTAAGTAATAAAAGCAATCCTGTCTAAATGCCATTGAAGATGAGACTGAAGTAATACCAGGTGAAAGCGAGCTCCAAAAATATATTCCAGTCACAACAGAACAATTTTCTAAAAGCATTTTCCTCAAAATTAGAAAAATGTTTTTAAGATAGGATCACTTGGGTTCATTCAAAGACATAGTGCAAATACAAGTGTGTAGCGACGTGTATTTATTTCCTATTCATTCTATGGTGGACACTTTTTATAGATTTACGAGTGTATTGATTTTATGTTGGATTATTTGCGAAATTAAAATGAAATGGGATGAGAAGAGAAAATAAATCATTGTATGCACTCTCTTAATGAGTAGGATAGAAAATTAAGAACTGAAGAGAGAATGCAGAACTGAAGCTCGAAAAGTACTTCGAACAGGCAAAATTTATGTTGCAGGCGTAAAGGAACATTGTATTATTTAATCACTTAGAAACAAAATTCCTGAACAAACTTGTTAGAACACTTTTTTTTATGTATGAAATAAATTTACTAATGCAACGTTCTCAAACTATCCACCGAGAGAAGGGGCCGCACAGGAAGGTCCACTGCCAAACGGTGTAATACAGCGACCGGCCACCAGAGGGACGAGCATACCCGCAAGCAAAAGTGGGTCATGGAGCCGATAAGCTCAAAACTTTGTTATAGAATTTTAGAAAAGTGACGAAGAGTAGTTCTGTGTTTTTATAAACCGTCGTTTATCGTCACTCTTCATAAAACTCGGCACCCCGTTATTCCCTACATACCGCTTCGTTACCGATAATTTCCTAACCCTATTAAAACATTGTATTCATATTTTTCTAATACCTTCTACGTCATACTCTTTATTCTTAAAACCCTTAAAAACCCATACCTGCCAATTCCATTTTGGAGTCCCCTTACTCCCAAACTAGGTTTTCCCGCTTTTCAACCCCTACCTTACACCACTTATATTAATATAAAAAGGCGAACCCTTCCCTAAGGAAAAGTAGTAATAGTCTGGACATTGTATGTACACGACACTTCTGAAGAAAACCTTCAATTTTTTACTGAAGAAACCCAGGGGGTGGAAACTAAACGTTAAAGACTAGCGCAGTATTCGCGCGCCATCTAAAATATGAAACCATTTATTGGAACTAAAATTCAATATGGCGACAAAAGTCGGGAAATTCGAATGTATATATCAATTTTGCATGCTTAAATGTACAGTAAGAAGAATAATTATTGGCACGGGTAAAAAAAATAGTATAAAAATATTGATAGTATAAGAATTATCATAAAGAAATATAACGTTACTTTCTTAATCAAGAATAATTATAATTTTATAATTCTTTAGAATAATCCTAGTAATATTAATATTTTTGAAACCATTTTTTTTCACGTCTCAATAGCTATACCTCTTACTTCATATAATTACAAGTAACATTGTAAAAATAGAAGTAGTGACAGGTTTAGTAATTGACATAATAAACATAATTTTTTATCCGTTAAAATTAAATAAGTTTATTTATAAAATATTATGTGTATCTTTTTTGGAAAATTTTGTAATAGCAATCAATTGTATAGTCATCTGTTTTTTTTGTGTAACTTTTGCCTATGATGATGAACAGCTTGTTTGGATATAAATGCTTGAGCAGCGGAACCTGCATCTTTGCCTTTTAACAATTTGTTCATGTAACTACATCAACAAAAAACATAGTCGACAGCAACGATTGTTGTTAACTCTTGTATAAAGCTTTTTGCATGAGTACTACGCGTAATGAAGGAATAATCTAAAAGCAGTTGCAGTGGCATATTTAAATTCTTCACAACATCCTCTTTGATGCAAAACAAGGCAATGTTTCCTTCCAAATTGCTGTGCGCCTCTTTCAGAAATTTATCGAAGTTTTGAAAATTTTTTAAACTTGACATACATTCACAGCATGTGTTGATTTTAACATTGTTCACTAATTTCCTGAAGATACGCGAATTGTCCATGTAGCTTCCAGTACGGTTCGCTTCAGCAACATGAAAAAGAACGTAAGCATTTTCTTCGTTTGTTTCTTTATTTTCAGCTTCGGTGGATGCTCCTTCTTAACTACCGTGCTTCTGAGCTAATAAGGCGAAGTTTCGAAGCGAAAAGAGAATTTCCGTGTTATCGTTCATACAGTTTCCTTTAATTGTTTTCGCAGATGTTAAATTATTGATAAGAAGAGTTTTGAAGGAACTTTCAAGCTGCATACAGGTTGGATTGACGTTTCTCCTTCTTATCATGCCGAAAAAATTTTCAATTGCATCTTGATTTACATGAAGAGGAGAGAACTTGTTAAACCCAAGCTGTTGCAGTGTTTGCCACAAACGTTGAAAACCATTTAAGGTTACTATCCAGTTTCGAAGAGATGGAACAGCCTTCGGTATGTTCGCCACTGGATTGATGAATCTGATGTTATTTTTCATCGAAATTACAGCTTCCTTCCAGAAAGAAGTATGTATTGAATTGTGAGTGACTTCTCTGCGTAGAGCGTTTCTCTCTTTTTTAGGTTGTTGCGTTTCTCCATTGACTGAATCGAATACGTCATTAAAAATTGAACAACCACAGATGTGGTTACGCCTTCCTTGACTGGCATTGATTTCGGACCCTCTATAGTTGATATCGAGCTTATTCCATAAGTACAATTATAATATGAACGAAAACTAACTAACCTAACTAACTGACTAACTACAGAAACTTGAAGAACCTAAAGAAACTAAAATACATACCTTCTATATTAGTGAGGAATCTAATAAATACAGCCACTGATCGGCTAAGCACTTGAGTTGCGAGTTGCATATTTTTCCTAATATGTCCATCATTTAATTGGGGCATCTGCTTCTGAATGTTGTGCATGACCTTGGTGTCTATGTCGTAGGCTGAATCCAGAATATCCCAGGAAGCAAAATATTTGTTTTCTTCTTGCAACTCTTCCGGATCTTTTAATTTTTCTTCCTTTTCATCGTCAACAATTTTAAGCTTTTCGTTAATTTCTTCAATAAAATCCGGTGTGATGAGAAATTTTTTCATTTTTTCATAAAATTCGTCGTTTCTTCTGCCTCTATCAGTACAGTTTGTGAAAAACACTTCGATATTTTTGGTTAAAAAGTTGTTGTGAATTCCTTTAATTAGATGCGGAGGATTGTAAAGTAGAATTATATGCTGTCCATACGTCTGAATTTTCCCAGCTGAAAAGATAAATTGCTTTACATTCTTGTAGACGTAACAAGTAAATAAGAAAATGTAAATCTAAATATAATACTTACTAAACTGTGTCTTTTCACTGAAATATTTTCTTCTGGTTTCTCTCAGCAAAGTATTGATGCAGGATACATTTGTTGCGCCTTGGTCACAAACAGTGGCAACGATCTTAAATCCAGAATTTGTAACAGCTTGTACAATTTCTTCGATGCATCTGGCCAATTGGTTAGCACTTGTACTTGACTTACAAAAATTGTAAGTAAGCGGCATCATACAATTTCTTTCAACTCCTCGTAGAATGAAGACCAAAACATAATCGGCGAACTTGTTTGTCCTGGCATTCCTGGTCATTTTTTCACCTTCTTCTTTCATATAATTAATAATAACATTATTGACACCAGGCTTTAATGGGATTCTACGTAAAAATGTTCGCAAAGAACGTTGAGTTGGTAATATAAAAATTCGAGAGAGAAGTCGATAACATTGCGCTGATTGTTTCAAGATAGCCAAAGCCATAATTTTATCATCCAACGTGAATCGTCTTGCCTGTATAAAACATAGAAGAACATCGTTTTATTATTAAAACGATTTGTCTTCTATCTTATTTCCTAACGTAATATAACATTTCTATTGATTTATTGATGAATTGATTGAATGCATCATCGATTGAACAATAGCATTTAATAAAAATGCATTCAATAAATTCATCAATAAATCAATAAAAATATTATATTCCGTTAAGAAATAAGGTTTAAAATATGAAGGAAATCTCAAAAGTTCTTATAAAATGTTTACGTTGTAAACACAAATAATATGTTATTAATTCCTTGTAAAATATAAATATGCAATGTATGTATATATATAAATTATGAGTAACTCGTATCAAATTACTGTCACGAAATTAGAAAAATATCAATTCTTCAATAAGTGGAATCAGTGAAAACTACACGATGGAATGCATTCTTCATTAATACTTGCCTTGGCTTTCTTGTGAACATTGCGAATGTGCATTTCTATGAACGCTAACTGATCTTTCGATAAGCTCTGCATTTTTTTCATCTGAACACCTTCACAGAATTTTTCAGCACTATCAATCCGTCGTTAGTAGGAATTCAATTTATGCAGATGTTTAGACTGCCGCTTTAATAAATTAGACGCTATCCCATGTAAACGCATAGCCATTGGAGTTAATTTGCCTTTCCTGGTAACTGATCCAAGAAGTGGTCGCTTTTTTGAAGTTTTTGGAGTTGAGAATTGAGTATTTTCTGTTCCCATTGTAGAAATATCTTTTCTCATTTCATTATTCTCATCCAAATCAGTACTGGTATTTTGTAAATCCATGTCTATCGGAGGCTCTCTGGTGTCTTGGTTTCTACGAAGAACTTCGTCAATCGTGTTTTCTTCATTACCAGCAGATGTGAGATCCAACATTAACTCAGGAATAGCATCATTCCTCAGTATCCGACGAACAGGTGTTATGGTGTACTTGTCTTCAGCAAAATGTAATTGACAGACTCGATACTTTCTCAATTCTTCTGTTGTCAAATCCTGGAGATCCGGATTTTTTACAATATCTCGCCATGAGTTGCTAAGCCTTGCATCTTTCGGAAATGCATGTCTTAAAATAGACTTGTTGGATTTACAGCCCGGTACACAACATCGCCAATATACTTTATATTTTAGACCTTTCTTCGAATTACCTAATTACGTAAAAAAAATTAAATGAATAATTAAAAAAAATAGTGATACTCATTTCTAGTTCTGTCGATTTGTTTGTTCTTTTTTTTTAAATTTAAAAAGAGAAATGCATGTCTTAAAATAGACTTGTTGGATTTACAGCCCGGTACACAACATCGCCAATATACTTTATATTTTAGACCTTTCTTCGAATTACCTAATTACGTAAAAAAAATTAAATGAATAATTAAAAAAAATAGTGATACTCATTTCTAGTTCTGTCGATTTGTTTGTTCTTTTTTTTTAAATTTAAAAAGATTCAAACATAAAACATAACCTCAAACATGATAGTATATTTTACCTGTTGTAACTGCCTCACGTTTTCCGGGTGATTGTACCTCCATTTTCACTGACCCTATTCTGTCCTTTTCAAAATTCGACAGCAATCACTCTTACGTGCACGAAATTATAAAAAATAACACTAAAAGAAATTCTGAAATGCCTCAAAGTATTGCAACCATTCACAAAAGCTTAGATTGTGTGTTAGGACGCTGCTCCTGTAGAATAAACACTCACACAACCCTGACAATCATCAGCGCCCTCTAAAATATGAAACCCATTTTTATCCGGCGTAAACACTGTACCGGAAGATCCTATGTCAGTTTCCACCCACTGAAGAAACCCACCAATACTTCCTGGAACTCACACAAATATAAATTCGTTGATCTATGATCACCGAGTCGGATCGTAACAAGAGGTGGTAAAAGCTACTAACGTACAGCACCTAGTAATCCAATCGATCGCACTGCTTCGATATCAAATTTTTAGAATCCACAAACTAATTTATAATTTTCGGGAATCCTCCTACCCCTTTAAGGCAAGGCCCAATATGTTACACTAAATTACTCGATACCTACGATATTTTCAAAAAATATATACATAATTAAGCAATATAATTATTGAATACCTACGATATTTTGTGTAGTTCAGGTAAAACTGTTTGGTTTCACATTGAATGCATTTTTTTTTCTCTGCAGACTATATTATAATTGGATACAAAAGATAAACGATTAATTGAAGTAAAGATTTTGGTAACGTAATCGTACATTTAACCAAGTATAGAATAAAAATAATGAACTATTCAACTGAATGGATTGTCTACTTTGTTGGGTCAAGCATATATGTTGTTATGCCGTCATGAGTTCTTTAGGATCACAAATAAATAATTGCACCGATTTTGAATTATATAAAGAACTATTATAGTTTATTGAAGTTGGTATAATATAAATATTAAGATAACACAAGATTTAATAGGAGTAGGCACAATGATACTAATTATTCACAACTATGAATACGCTCCAGGACTTCACTTCGCTAGGAACTTTGCACGTGACCGCTGTGGCTCACAAGGTGTCTCTCATCGCTTTTATCTTAACGCCTTATGCATAGGGTCACATTCGTCTAATGCTGACTTTGCGTCTGGAGATTAACTATACGACGAATGCGACCTATCGTGAGGCATAACAATGTATACCGGGTGAGTTACCTAACGTTTGCACCTAAAATATCTTTATTATTTCTATAGATACGTAAAATATGGTAAGAACAAAGTTGAATGGTACAATAGGGCTGATGCAACAAAAAATTTATTTTCATGTAATTTTTTCGAGATATCAAGGTCACCTTGACTTTTTTAAATGGAACCACCCTTTTTTAAACACTGTGACGTACGCCGGCCAACGTCGTAGCCGACAAATAATTCACGGCCACTTCCAACGTGCTGATACCCGGAAAACTATCCGAGATCCGAACTAGATCGGATTGTTGGGCACCAGGTGCGGACTCCCCGAACCGACGTTCCTCCTATGGCCGCTTCCACGCGATCTCCCGGCTGCTCAGCCTCAGCTAGCTAAAATGATAGAGGGAAACGTAGGGGCGACGAGATTCGAACAATTCGGGGTACGCCAATGAAAACGCCGGTCGAAGTTTTAATATCCGTTTATTCAAAATAGAGGAGAGTGGAGCCAGTACAGATCGACGTGTACGATAACTTCTGACGGCAAGCGCGGCCCTTTGTAAGGGCCGCAGGGTTAACCGTTCCCCACCGTCCCTAGCTTGTCTTATCACGGGGCGCGTATTCCTACCACGCGGTCGCGATCCTACCAAGCTCGGTGGGCGAACCTCTTTTCTAGCGGAGATCTTTGCAGGTCAGCGTCCCGAACGCCTAGACCACCGATCTCCGCCCGGGACATGTGAATGTGGCTATCCCGGCCCTTCTCCGAGGGGATTCCGTATAGTAAGAAGGGCCGCTCTCGGCGGTGGGATACGTGAATGCGGCTATCCTGGCCCTTCTTCGAGGGGAATCCGTGTAGTAAGAAGGGCCGCTCTCGGCGGTGCTTACCGGTGTAGCGGCTTAATCCAAAAATCCAAGGGAGCCAAAAAAGAAAACCAAACGGGCCGGTTCTGGGCGGGAGGTCCTCAGTATTGGCTGGTGATCCCTTTCGCACTTCCGCTCGCTCGCACCTCCTCACTCCGCACTCAGTCACCCTTTTCCCTTATCTTACTAAACAAAATCAAATCAAGTCCCAAAACACAAGCCGCGTCGTCTATCAGAGATCCACAAAACAAGCCGAGTCGTCCACAAAAAAAAAACCACAATCCACCGTCCACTGCCCGTAATCGTCCACACTTATTCGCCACGTGTGACACGGTCGATTACCGGAAAGAGATTGCATTCGGCAATTCCGAAGATTGCCGACCCCTATTGTTGCCGGTTTGCCGAATTTAGCCGAAGGAATTCCCGCCTCACGGGAATTCCTAGCCCCCCTCGTCCTCCCTCGTCTAGCGGGTGGACCAAAACAAAAATACCCCCTTCCCGCGGTACCTTGCCGTCCAGGTCGCTCGTCGGGACGATCAGGTGTCCAGCGGACGGTTAGCGGGAAGCGGGCGGTCGGTGGCATCATCGGCGTAGGGTATTAGTTTAAGATCTATGAAATTTTTTGCCATATTAATTTAATTTTTATTTGTTGGGTGTGAAGTGTCGTCTTTTAAGTGACCAATATTAATTTTTCAATCTTGTTAGAGATTGTCAGGCTAGGACTCGGGTGGGAGTCCTATGAAATGGGAGTATGAAATTGTCTGAGACACTCTTATACGGGACGCCTGGAGTCTGGACAGACATGCCGTCCCTAGCGAGGGGAATAGGCTACCCTCTCTACGCGGCGGCCTGGCTTCCGAGTGAGAGGGTCTTATGGACGACTAAGGCTAGAAGCAAGTGAGACGCTCTGATACGCGCTAGGCCACTGCTGCCAGCGAGTGAGAGGGTCTTATGGGCAACTAGCGTTAGACGCAAGTGAGACGCTCTTATACGCGCTAGGCCACTGCTGCCAGCGAGGGAGAGGGTCTTATGGGCGACTAGCGCTAGGCGCAAGTGAGACGCTCTTATACACAGTGCGGGCTATCTCTGGGACTCCACTAACTGCGAGTGAGAGGGACTTATGCGGTATCTGTATGAAATTGTCTGAGACACTCTTATACGGGACGCCTGGAGTCTGGACAGACATGCCGTCTTATACGGGACGCCTGGA